CAATCAAATCTCCCGAGACTCTGGCGGGCCAATGAGCTGCTACTGTACTCCATTTGCCCTTCTTTAAACCTCTGACTCTAATGGTAAGGGTCAGAAGGCAGCTTGTGTGAAGCACTAATGCTGATTATTCTCCACCATCAAATGAACCTCTTAATCATCGATCCTTCTACATCGACACCCAAAGTGTCATCAACAGCTATGCTATTTATAAGGCAGGTTTCATAGAGACTAAATTAGAAGTAGCTACTATAATACCAAGATTAACTCGAAGCTGTTTGACAGCTTAAGCAGGAATGCCATTGTTTCATCAAGAAACGCCAAACATACACAACTCCAAAGTTAAGGGTGCTGACAGAAATCTCCAGACAGAACAAAGCCGGCTGATCTTGCTCCCTCCGATAGCAGAGATAACAGCCTGAACAATGACACCTACTCAGCTGTCTAGACTGAGCAAAGCGCCGCCATTGGCTGGCAGCTGGAGATCTCAGGGGAGAAGCAAAGCACTCAGAGCCATGCTCACCTGTTCTTGGATGCTTGTTTCTTAGTGAGTTTTTTTCATGCAGTTTGACAGACACAGTGGGAGCTCAGAGCGTAGAATACCGGAGATAAGTTATATACTAAGTTGAGCTTTGTTTTTGGACGGATTCTTGACAGTCCAAGAAAAGTAGTGGTAATATAGCTGTCACTGCAAGTAGGCCATGAGGAAATTTAAAAGTAGTTTCACACCAAACTGCAACTTTATTCAGTTACTTAGAATTGAGGCTGAGGTGCATGGCAAAAAGAAAGGAAGAAACATGTTTTAAGAAAGCAGTAGACGGTATTTATCAATTTCCTTTTAATCAGCTCTGATCAGTCAAGTTATTTATTGGATGCATTAAACTAAAAACATACATTTTCATTTCAGTTTCTGTTGAACTCAAAATTCCTTCTGCTATCACAGAGCTACACAGAATGGTTTTTCCTTTGAATGTGTTTTAGTAAGAATCAGTAAGAGTCTGAAGCGGCAGTGTAGACATAAAAAAATAAAAGATAATTTACAGGCTCAGTGATGAGCTGAGTTATGCTCCCATCCTGCAGACTGACTGGCAGAGCGTTGATGAAATCATAAATCTCTGTGGGAGTTGGGTGAGCGCTGAGGAATATAAAACACGGCGAGCATAAAAAAGGAGCGCTGGTCACTATCAAAGCTATACAGGAAATGATTGACAATGTGATCAAGGTGAATAAAACTCCAAAACATGTATGAAAACAAGTGAGCGTTGGCAAGCATGAAATACCTGGCAAATAAAAATGAGAAACAGTTAGACCTGAGCAGGCTGTAAGAATTTATGGGGAACGTTGTTTTAGTACCCATAAATCATCTGTTGTCAAAGATAAAGATTGAATTTGATCACGTCTGGGTGTTTTTTATATCGCTGCTGATGCATGTTTTAATCCAATCAAGTGGAGGTTGCACTAAGGACATCTCACACTTGGGAGTTTGGGGAATCTAATTGAGAGAAAGTGTTTTATCTTTTATTGGAACGAGAGCAGCTTTCTGCTGCACTATTAAGCAAATTCAAGAGATGCTTTGGGGGTTTTCTTATGTTTTTGTTTTTTTTTTCTCGATTTTTCCAAAACTGACAGTTTAATCTAATATTAGCTGCTAATACACTGGAGTTTTCCACCTTAGTGTCTTGATAATGATTTCCCTTTGCTGATAAAAGTTCTATCAGATCACCAAGGAAAGTTTCTGGTACGTTTTTTTCTCTTTCTGGCTATTTATACTCGGTTCTCAGTGTACTATAGAGTGAAGTAGAGTAGACGGAAGCATGCTGGCCCTCTTTGACCACAGACATTATGAGACCCGTATATCAACAGTAGCTGTATGAAGGAAGGAAGACCACAACAACAGCTTCCATGAAGATTGGCCCATCCCCCAGCCCTTTGTCTGCCTGTCTGCGGGTATTTGTGTCTAGGTGTGCAAAAGTGCATGAATAAGTGCGAAAAGATAATGGGACAATAAAGAGCTGAAGCCCCTAAAACCAAACCTGTTTAGACACAAGCTTTTGTTTTTCCTAAAGGACCCAACAAATTGGCTCAAATGATTATGACAAAGTATTGTCCAAGAAGTGTTTGACATTTTTATTTAAAATTTCTATAGTTATGATCAATAATTGTATAAGTATTTACCCCCACATTGACAGTCTTTCATTTATTTAATTGCTAGAAAGTATGATATAACAGAGGAGTTCAATATATTTTGTTTCTAGCTGGTAAAAAGGAGCTGTTAGTATTTATTTTGCCTCAGCTCTGGCTGTTGTCTTGGCTACGCCCAGCAGGAAGGAGATATCATGATTACTTTTGAAATTAGTGTTGCTCAAGGTCTGGTGGTTTACTGGCCATGTGACGCCCAGAGGTAGAGCTTTGTTTTTAGCTTTAGGGGGGTGCTTAGAGAGTGACAGCATCTTCGAAGATTAAACCAGATACACGACGATGTCATCAGCAGTTTTGATCTACAAAAAGCAAAGGGCATAATGTGCATCTTGCTTTTTGGACACATTTTCTCATTTCAGTGTTGCTATTAAAGGAAGTTTCTCTTGTTTGCAAGATGAAAGTGATGGCTGCACTATTATCTGCCACTTTGTGGACTGCAGTGCTGGTTTTGTAACTTGTGAGCTCTGAGTGAAGCGTGTTGACTCGTTGGAACGTCTTAGCCACAGCTTTCATAAAGACAAAGAGATACGGGACGGCGTTGAGGCCACGTAAGTGCTCGCAGGGTACAGCGGTCTCCACAGCAACTCGGTGACCCATTTTTATTCTGTCCTGCCTCTTTGGAGTGGGGGGGGCTTGTTACTCACACCCTGATAATTAAAGCAGGTCAGGAGGTGAATGGATTGAGAGTGTCTGCTGTGAAGATTAAGGATGAACAGGAAACAGCAAAAGAATGAAAACTAGTTAGTGAAAATGTAGACCCTCACAGATCAAACACAATAGAGAGTAATTACTTGGCCTCATTACACTTGATTAATTTACTTTTTTTTTCTTTTGCAAATGAATTTGAATTCACTTAAAGTAAATCCCTACACAATTATTAGAGACCCCCTGATCAGGCTTCTGTTTTCATAGGTCTCATCTGACACTGATTTTCTCTGATTTCTATACCAGATATAATGTTTAAAATGAGCTGCAGGTTCTTTAATAGAGGTAATAGTTATGATTCAAAAAAGAATAAACAAATGACAGAATCATCCCCATGGAAACATCAGAACATATGTCACACCCTTTATCTATTTTTAATATTGAAAAAAAATATATCAGAGTAAATGATTTTATTTAATTTGGTTATAGTAAGAAAATAGATCATTCTTAGTTTCATTTTTGTGTTTGTGTGGAGAAAAATGTTCAACATTTGGGTGGAAGGCTGGAAAAACTATGTAACATTTGATCGTTAATGGATCAGGGTTTTATTGTTTGGTTCGGATTTGAAATTATTTTCTAAAAGCTCTGACAGGGCAGTTTAGAGTTTTTCTCTTATGCCAAAAGCAATACTGTTGTTCCAAATATAAAAATCTATGCTGCTGGTTCAATTTTAATGGTAACAGGTCAAAATCCCTCTAAAAAGCATGGGCTTATTATAGCATCATGTCATGATTATACAGGGAGAAATACATAAACCAAAAAAGTGATTAGAAGTGAAAATATTACAATGCTGTTTGCGTTTGAAAAAAAAGGAAAGTTTTCTTAACTTCTGTAAAAATAGGAGAAGTTAGGAATGATATGACACTGTATGGCGCGCGGCGTTGGTGCAGGGGTTAAGTCGACGATCTACAGAGGCTTTGCTCTTCGACGCAGTATCACAGGTTTGAGTCCCGGCCTGTTGACCTTTGCTGCGTGTCTTCCATCTCTCTCTAATCCCATTTCCTGACTGATTATTAGAAAGATAAATAAAATAAAACAAAAGCCACTAGAGGCTAGAAAAATATTTTTAGAAGAATTATAAATTAGAGCAGCAGAGGAAATCTTTCAAAGCTCAACAGACAGAAATACAAACATTTCCAATATTTTCCTCCAATACTAAAATGATAATACTGTTAAGTATTAACCCACATTTTCCTTATGCATTCATTTATTTTCCAAAATCCTAATTTCTCTACCACTTTTTCTCAGTTTAAACATTTCAACCATTAACTTCATTATGTACATAAAGGGGCAGTGAAAGTCTATATCCATGGGGTTAAACTTTTACTTGCATGCAGAGAAAATGCATTTCATTGAAAATACAAGAGCCAACCAACTATTAAAACCCAGCTGTTAAAAATACTGACTGTTGCTATGAAGACTGCAAATTGTTTTAACATGCAGCTATTTTCTTTTTTTTTGCCTGTAATTTATTTAAAAAACATTCAATAAATGCATTTATTATTATAAATTATTAGCATCATTATTATTGAAAAATAGGCCCACAATAGCATACGTATGCACAAGCATTTTATCCCTCTCAGCTGTAGTTAACTACTAATCGACCCCCATAGGAAGAGCAGAGAAGCGGTTTGATTACCGTACATGTTCAGTAGAACCATGGAGTAATATATGCAAGTAGTTATGGGAATTTAGTCCTCACTGTTTTAAACAGATAAACAAAGAGGATTCTTGTTATTGATGGCAGATTTTTGGGGGTTTGCTCATATGACTCTGATCTGACAGAGCTAAAAAAAAAAAAAAAAAAAAACCCACAGAAGAACGGATAAGAAATGCTGAGATAAACCAGTTACGATCTAGTCTTCAGTATTCTGTGAATCAGAGTTCATCTAAAGTCTATCTTTATCATCATTTCCATTTCTGGAAACCTGATTTACTGTAGATAATAGAGGTCTCCATAACTGCACAGTGTTTTATTTGCTGTATGTGGTTGTTACCGGGAAAGTACATGTAGAGAGACATGAATTTGCATGAAACTTGTTTCCTTTATTCCTCTTCCTCATTTGTTACCATCTACTGTCTTTTTTTGTGTGCGTTAGTCAGGAATGCCCCAGACTGTGTGCCCAGGCACCATGTTCACCACTTCCAGTGGTTTCAGCCCCCACCTGGCCTGCGCTGAGCCTGGGGAAGAGGAGGAGGAGGGGGGGGCCCATCAGGAGGTCCCGGGGCCAGCGGCTTGTCTGGCTGACGGGCCTCCTATCACCTCTGCTTCCCTGGAGACCCTGATCCAGAACCTGGTGCCCACTGCCGACTACTACCCAGAGGTAAACGAAATCACAGGGATTATTGAAATGAATTCATTGATGCTTTAAATAATCCACAGGAGAAAGATGAAGAATAGATAAATTAAGATGACTAAAGTTAGGAAATCATGACACCCACACAGAAAGTGACAATCATGTGTAAAACAGTGATTGAGAGGAGACTTATTTCACCTCATTTTGAACTCGTTTAGTTGATGATATGCGCCGATGTTACACCAGACTTTGCAACGGATAACTTGAGTCTTCCTGCTCCTTTTAGTCCTAAAGCTGCTGAGTCTGAATCAACCTTGATGGATTCATTTATAGATTTTTTGACAACCGCAGACTTATTTTTCAATAGATTTTATTAGAATTTGATGGGATAATACAGCAGTATTGTAAAAGCAAAAGGATGCATGTTTTTTAAACTTTTGCATTTAAGTTAGAACTTGGATGACCATTTGAATTCAGGGCCATCTTTTTCTTAATGGAACAGTTTCAAGTACATCGATAGAAACTGTTTCATTCTAGTGTAAGCTATTTAGGGGCTCAGGGAAGCAAAAGAACAGGCTATGTTCTCATGAGAAATAAATATAACTTTCTGATCTAACTTGGAGAATTAGGAGTGCTGAAGCATGATGCTGGCAGCATGAGGCTGTGGGGTGGCCTTTCCTCAGTAAGGCCAGCGAAGCTCCCCCTAAATGAAGATGGGTGGAAGTAAACACAGGACAGTCCTGAAAGAAAACCTGCTATAGGCACAGATTCCCCTTCCAATATAGACACAGACACCAGGAAGCAATGGATGGTTCTACAAAACGTTGCCTGACTGGCGCTGAATTCAAATAAATGATACACTTTGCAATTATATTACAGGGCTCGATGTTTACCATTACTCAAAATTACTCTAAAATCACAACATTCGCTGAAAACAACCCACAAGCGTAGCCGGCGCCATTTTTGTTATTTTGTACACATTCTCGCGTGATTTGAAAAAGCTGCGTGATTTTCCGCTAGATGGCGTGATTCAGCTCTTGGGGAGAGAATTCTGCAGAGCAGCAGCTGGATGATGAATTTAATCTATACTATATTACACGCTGGATTAAAAATGATCAGTCAGGGATTAGGAAAATAATAATAATAATTGTATGCGCACAGTGTAAATATTTCTACCATATGGCAGTCTTCTGTACAGTGGTCATACATAAAAAAATGTTCATTAAATTTTTTTCTCTTAGACATTGGAGTGGTGCATTTAAATGTTATAGAGCTAAACATGTTAAATTGGTGAGTAGTAGTAGTGTAAGTTTTTAACCTATCAAGTTTTTATTTTTTATTTTTAACATTACAATTTATATTTTTCCAAGCACACAACAGTTTAAAGCAAAGTTTAGTTTGAAAAGAATGTGCAGGAAGGATTGAAAAGCATGTTAACACGGTAATGTAGGCTTGAGTTCATTATCTGACGCATGCATATACACACCAGGAACCTGGAAACTTACTGAATTACAAAATACAAAAAAACATTAAAAAAACAAACATGTTTCATTCATATATATACAAAAATTTATATTAGGTACTATATTTATGAAACATTATACTGGGCAAGTAAAAATTCCTTCTGGCAAATGAAATGTGAAAGCCACTTGCCCAAATGGAGAGTGATAAAAATCCTTAACGTCAACCCTTGAATTATATACTTCATGTTTTTCATTTACATAAATTCCCAATAAATACATAGAGGTTTGCAGTTACAGTGAATCCATGCCTCAGTAACACACAGCACTGCTTTCATTCTTAACATGTCCTGTTTGCCAGTGTTCACCCTAAGCCCCATAACAAGAACCTGTGACCTGCATCCATACGTCTGTGTCAGCTTGATTAAAACCCTCAATGTTACCATCTTCCAGATACAAACAGGAACACTAAAAGGCTGGCTTGAGAGAGTTGTTTCAGTTTACAATCTCAGTGACAGCCGTGCTAATTTGATTATTAGCCCCAAGTATCTGCTTAGTTTAATTACAGCCAGCAGCTCTGTTTTTATGGATGCTGTTGTGGGAGCATCTCTCTTAATGTCCTCCTCTCTCTCTCCACAGAAAGCCTATGTTTTTACCTTCTTGCTGAGCGCCCGTCTGTTCATTCCTCCGTCTGAGCTGCTCTCCAGGGTATGCGAGCTGTGCATCAAGCAGCAGCAGCTGGATCAGAGCCCGCTTGACACGGTCGGCACCACGCATTATTACACAGTCCCGTTTGTGCATGTTGCAGCTAAAGACTGGAGGACGTCAAGGGAAGTATTTTGAAACCTTTGAAATGTCAACCAACAGGTTAAAGTGCGCAAGTTCGGTCCTAAGATCCTGCAGCTGCTGACAGAATGGACGGAAACATTCCCATCAGACTTCAGGGACGAGAAGATGGTCGGACATCTTAAAGACATCATCCACAGGATAGCTCCATGTGACGAGGTGAGAAAAGCTCTTTCTACAGCAGTGTTAGAGAAACATAATTTCTACTATAATCGTTAAAAGTTAGAGTATACTATGCATTGTAAAGCTGAACCTTTTCATGTTTGTGTTTTATTGGAGTTTAATCTGATTTGCAAACAGAAGCAGAAAGAAAATGTCTTTTAATTTTAACAGGTTTTACTTAATTTTTCCATCAAGTCTGATATACTCTCCTGTTTTTGCTAAAATGCAGCCCCACAGCATGATTCTCCCACCACTGTGTTTATGAAGGGCTTTAAAATGTGTTCGTTAAAAAATTTGACTTTTGTTTCATGTGACCGAAGTTCCTTCTTTCATCGAAACATTTCATTTCAACTCAAACCAAAAGAAATATGATGAAGCTCATATTATTTATTTTTTAAGTGTGACTCACTCTCTAATTAACCTTTAAAGCATTTGCGTTACAACAGTATTGGACTCTTTTTACGAATTTGGGGACTTCTTAGATCAAATGGATGCAGAGGATTTTATTTTGCACCATCTTACTAAAGTTGTGCCTCCGTTCTAATACCTTTGAATGTTGTTTAACTTTAAAGAATAAAAATGAAGGAATTAAAAGATAAAAAACGTGTGCATGATAAGTTTGGCTTACAGCTGCTGCTGCAGTGATCACATTTGCTCTGTGTGCAGGAAACAAACCCACTGGATAGAAATCAGTGTGTTTAATCAGAGATTTTAGAAGCAGGCTGATGTCATTCAATACTTTTTTTTTTTTTGGCTGATATTGGACTGATTTTTGATTTCAATATCAGATCTATTGTTTGTCAATTTACTACTTCTTAATTATGTTGTGTTTTTCTGCCACATAAGATCCTATAAAATACTCTTTTATTGTAACTAAATGTAAAAAAGTGCAAGTGTGAATACTTGTGCAGGGCTCTGTGTATCAGAGACTATAATGTTTCCTTTAAATCTCCCCATCGATCTCGATGAAGGGGGGACCTCCTGGTATCAGAACTGAACTGTGTTTTTGTTTTTTGGTCTTGAGGGAACTGATCCTGCAGCTTTATTATTTATTTTAATTATTCTGCACATTGAGGACTCTCACTGTTTTTGTATTTGAAAATATCTGAAAAGCTTTGTTTGGATCATAGGTTGTCGGAGAATTTTCCCTGAGAGTAAATATCCTCAGGGAACCATCACTGACATAATGGGAATTTTTTTTTTTTTTTTGGGTTCCCAAACATGTCTCAAAGAGGAAACGTTTGGCATCGAAAATTCGTCAATCATCCAAATTGAACAAATTTAACGAAAGAGATGTATTTAAAGCAGAAGCGATGTGACAAGAGCATGTTTTTTCATCATCACTGCAGCGGCTGAGAGAAGAAGTTGGTGTCATGAGGAGCCAGCTGCTGCACAATATTACCCTGCAGGAGAGTGGAGCTGAGGGAGGAAGGAAGGATACTGAAGGAGTGGCTTTAAGGAGGAATAGAGGGAGGGAGGTGGGAGAAGGAAATCTGGAGATGGGATGCAGACCCGCAGAGAGGAGAGAGAGAGGAGATGAAGTCTGGGCAGAGGAGCTGGAAAAATGGAAGAAGGTGGTGGGAGGCTGGGCAGGTGGTGATAAATGCGCTGCTATTTACAGCTGGCCGTCCTCAGCATGGGTGTGTCCATGCATGTTGGAGCTGTGGCTCTGGGTCATTTGTGAGACAGACTGACCTAATGGCCTCTGTGTGGAGCCATCTGCAGGGAGGGGCTCAGAGATTCAGACATTCTTGAACACAGAACACATTAATGCATCATTGTGACTAACTGTTGTGACTAACATTTTTGTTTTTGAGCTTATTTTCTCTTCCAAATAATTTGATTATCTCAGTGTAACACTCCATTTTGTTTGCTAATTTAGCATTTACCTTTAAGTTGTAATTTATTCCGGGTCAGTCAATTATTCATACCACTTTAACCTTTTTATTTTGTTACATTAAAATCACAAACATCAGTTTATCTTTTATGAATTTTACTTTAAAGATCCCTACAGTACAATTTTCTCTGAATATATGCAGCGGGATGAACAGGATACTGCACTCTTCCTTTTTTTTTTTTTTTATTAAAATATAAAAAGATAAACATGTGTTTCTGTTTAACCTCTTTTGTTTCAGACTGTTAAATAAAATCTAGGGTAAGAATTAACCCTTTAGATACCAACTGCTATGTAAAAAAACAAAAAAGTGTGTCATTTAATCTCATTAGAAATATGAGTTCTATGAAAGCCTAAGAAACAATTAAAGACAAGACGTAGCATTCTGAGCATACATAGGAGCAGAACTACAGGGGGGCAAGCAGGCCATGGCCACCTCTAGCCAATAAATAATTAGTAATTGATTATTCACAATAATATACTACAAATAAAGATGACTAATACAGAATCTACGCTCTTTTAAGAATTTTGTTTTTATTTTTTAATGGAGGGAAGTTTGTCTCTGCAGCCATCTAGGAGTCTTTTATGCAATTAAAGATGAAGAACCTACTGCTATATTATACATTCATCATAATATATATTATGTAGACCCATTAATGGGTTCAAACAGCATCGAACTATGAATATGTGCTTAGCTTTATTAGCAAGGGCCTCATGAAAATCTGGTTTATCTCTGATGATTTATTTGGAAAATATAGATGTTGTATGCGACTAATTGGAAACTCTGGAGGAGCTGCCGAGCTCCATTTTTCAGGTTGTAACAGTCCCACATTTAAAACATTCCAGTCGTGAAGTGCAGTAGAAGAATGCCATTTTTTAAAAAGGACATGTACGAAACACAACAGACCTGTGGAAGAAGGTGTTCCTATGAGATGAGACATGATTTGTAGGCCTACATCGAAAGACAAAGCTGAACACAGTGTCTGCATCTTGAATCACGGCTTAGGTAGCATCATGCTGTGGGGATACTTTTTTTTTGTTGCAGACACTAGGAAGTTAGTCAGAGATGATGGGAAGATGGAGGGAGGTAAATAAAGGAAAATACTAAAGGAAACGCAGCAGGGATGGTCTCCATAAAAACAGTATTAATGTTAGCATGGACCAGACAAAGATTGAGAATCAGTGGTAAGACTTTAATAAATGATGTTTAAAAATGTTTTGAATCAAACCTGAATGATCTTTGGCTATTTTACAGAGAATAATGAGAAAGCAGGTAGATATATTGCAGTTGTAGTTGGAGCTAGTTTTGATTATTTACTTATTTTATAAATTGGTGGGGCTGAATACTGAGTACCGTACTTCTTTTGGATTATAACCTCACTTTGAACCATGTGGCTAATGCGAAGATGAGGCTTTTCAGTGGATTTTTCCTAACCGCCAGGGGGAGGAACTGGAAATCAAAGAAGAAGAGGGCTAATTTTCATTTAGCACATGCTAGCAGCAGATGCGACAGAGAACAAATGTGCCTAATTCTCACATTTTGACACTTATTTGCCACATTAAAGCCATCAAACCAAAATAGAGACTGTGTGTAACTCCTGCAGAGCTGAAATAAAGAGCTAGCAAAGCCCAATCTTTCATTAAAATCTCTTAATACTGTGAGCTAACAAGCTAACAGGAGCTAGCATTCTTCCTTGTACGTACTCTAGAGATGTAGAGCTCCCTCTACAGGTATGGTGGGGGACAGTAAAATAAATTTCAGCAGCTTATAGCCCGGTGCGGCTTATATATGTACGTTTCCGGTTTTAAAAAAACTTAATGGTTACGGCTTATAATGAGGAGCGCTCTATAGTCAGGAAAATATTGTATTTATAGTTACTTTTAGCAAATATTAGAAGTGCGAGAGTCGTGCTTTGCTCTCATTCTTTTTACTGCTTTTGTTCTTTTGTTTGTAATTTAGAAACCACAAAGAAATTATTTTTTTATCTTCTATGTTGTAGTTTGTGTTGCTCTATCACAAATTACACCACAACACTACTACTGCTCCACTGCCATTCACTCAAAATGTTGGTGTTTAAATGAGAAAATGTTTCATTTTTATTTAAGCATACCTTTAAAATTGTTGCATCGTTTTTCTCCAACCAGAGCCCTCACTATAAGGCCCCTGGTCTTTCTGATTAACGCCTATCACTGTTCTACAACACAGTTAATAAATTATTCATCAGAGATGTTATTGATAGCTTCCCCACTGCTCTGCTCATCTGTCCTGTCTTTTTTCCTCTCCTCTCCAGGCGTACTGGAAAACCCTGAACCAGATGCTGCAGAAGCTGAGCCAGAGGTTGGCCCTGATGAGCCAGGGTGAAGAGAGCATCGTTAAGGTCTCCCTCAACGCTTCCTCCATCTCCGACAAGCTTGTGGCTTTTAAAACCAAGCCCCCACCCATACAGAAGGACATTCTCTCCATCTGCAATGACCCCTACACGCTGGCACAGCAGCTCACCCACGTGGAGCTGGTGAGTCCTGAGGGAGGGCGAGTAGTACAAAGGGTTTAGACAGAGGTCAGCGTACGAGACGGTAACAAGGATGGACGAGGAGGAGAATGGAAGGATGCTGTGGGAGTGTTAGGGCGCTAAGGATGATGAAGCAGGAGTCCACATTCAGCCCATTTCTGGATGCTGAACTTTGAATTTGTCATTTTTAGTAAAGGGAGTTAAAGGATGTATGGAATAAGAAGATAACATAATGCATGCAGTGTAATGCAAAATGTACAGATTATATAATAGCAGAACATTGCAGGCATGTGCCTCAATGTAAGCCTGTTTGGCTGCATTTCATTGCATGTATTTACTTTTTTTTTGTACTGCACGCCTGAGTAAGCCCTCACCCTTGTCTGAGTGGTGACATCACCCCTGAAGTCAGCAAAGTGCCTGAGGCTGGCTAACAAAGGGGATAAAACCAGTGTGGATATATATGACCTGACAGCTTCACACTCTGACACACACACTAAAAAGAGAGGCTGAGACAGACAAGTAGGAGTGTGCAGCTTGCGTATTCTGGGTCAGATTTTATTTATTTTGTGGATTTAAACATCATGCCGATAATGCGCTAACTTCAGCTTGATCCGATCTGAATTTGATCTGGAGGTGTGATGAGCCTACTGAGTCATTTCGAGTCTCACATGACCGCAAGTTTGCCTCTGAGCTGCTATCGCTCCCAGTGTCTCTCGTAGGAAATATGATAGCAGTGAGTCACATCAGTGAGTCATTACTTCCTTCTATTGATTGGCCTCCATTACTGAAATGAAAGCGTTATTAATCAGATCCCTCCAGCCGATGTGTCTGTGCCCAGTTAAACTATTCATGTTGTATTTACACAGAAAAATGATGATGTTTTTATTGATTATGAGAAACGAATGAACAGCCATAAAAATGTACTATGTGTCTGTTTTCCAGGAGCATTTAAGCCATATTGGACCGGAGGAGTTTGTCCAAGCTTTTGTTCAGAAAGATCCGCTGGATGGAACACAGGTTAGCAAACAGGAAATGGGTTTCTCAACATATTTGTTTGTTTTCAAAGGTTCTAACACCAGGTGATGGGGCAAAGAGGATGCAGATGGCCTCCATCAAAATAAGTGGATTCAGAACCGAAAAATAAACCAAAATGAATTAGACTGATCAGATCTGAGAATATAATGTTATTATATGTTAATATTTCATATGGGGAAGAATTAAAAACCTTTGCATCAGTATAGGGAATAGGTAGTAGATATGCTCCTTTTCAGCCAAAGAAGGTATATAACTAAGATTGAAATTGTATTTCATAATATAATCTATTAAAAATTATGTCAACCTGTCAGCAGGTCCATTGTTTGATCTGAAATAGAAATAGATATAAAAAAAGTTTTCAGATTTTGACTTTCACAAAATTCCCTTTTCAACCGTAAAGATTAGCGTTCCACTTTTTTTTATTATACGAACATTTCCTTCAATGTTTCAAACTAATCATAGCTTTATAGAGAGGTCTGAACTGTTTGCACAGATCTAAGTAATTACAATGTAATTCAATTCATTCCATTTTATTAAACCTAATATTAAATTAATGTATGCAAAGTACAGTGAAATATCACATACTCCATCCAGATGGTAGGATCCGTTTCCCTTGAAAGCGACAGATATTTTGCCCCATGGGTGCATTAATATACGTCTCCAAGATGGATGGACATGGTTACCATAGCGCCCTAAACATGTACATCTAAAAAAAAAAAAAAAACTGCTTTGGAAAACATTTCTAAGGTTAAGCATTTAGCTGCGGCCTTCAGCATTTCTGTAGCTGGAGAAGTTTCCTTGCCATGTAGTCAGAAGAAGAGCATTTGCACGTTTATCCTCTATTTCAATTTGTCTTTTTTTTTATAATTTCGGCTTGTAAACTTTTTTTAATGCAGCTCCAGCTCATCGCATACAGGCTGCACTTACAGGGAACGCTTCAGAAACATATCATTCACGCTGAACTATGTAAAATGTATGCATTTTTGATTAGTCATACACCTCTATGTGGCAATAATTCTGGGTTTAGCAGTTCTTAGGAACACAGTAGACGTTGAGCATTACGGTTCTTGGCTTTTTTACTGATCTCTGCAGTTCTATCATTACCTAAGATATACATTGTTTGAAACATCTTTAAAAAAAGAAGAAATAAAGCAATGAAGAGGATCCAACAATGAGGAACAGCACAGGAGGAGCATATATGGGGGACAGAACAAACAAAGGGCTAATTACCTGATCTGGAGCAGGTGTGGATAGAAGTAACTGGAAGGGAGCTAGGGGAAAGGATATTGGCACAACAGTTGCTGGAAGGTCAATTCCTATTGATTAACCACTGCACACTAGTGTGCAAAGCTGGGGGTCTGGTCTGCAGTCCAGAACTAAACCAGACCGATTTCCTTTAGAATGAATTCAGTTTAAGACCGTGAGTCAAGCCTTCTCATCCAACATCAGTGTCTTACCTCAAAAATGCACTTTTAGGCTACATTTAAACTGCAGCCTGAAGTGACCTAAACCAGATTTTGTTTTGCCCATATGCGACCTGGACCTGATCTTTTCATGGCAGTCTAAACAACACAGATCCGATTTTTTCCGATGGCTATGTGGTCCTGAATCCGATACGAATCTGATCTTTTCAAATGCGACCTGTGTCTGAATAGCCAGGTTGCATTCATCCGATCTGAACCCCATTAGTAACCGATATAGGTCACTATTTTGCTTCTTGCTACACAGAAGCGCCAAGAAAAACAACAAACATGGCGGACGATGATGCAGAGAGCAGTATTTATATTTAACCATCTTGAAAAGATTGAGGTTGTAAGGTTTGGAAAGATCGCTAGATGCGCTCCAGCACAACATCCATGTTTACTTCCTTAAACACGAAGGACGCTGGATTGTGACGTCATTGCGTCCTCTACTGTGAATGCGGGACACTTAAGCTATATGAATGCAGTTCACACAGGAGATCACATACAAGTCGCATATATTTGGAAATTTGAATGGCAGCGCAAAATATATACTGTATATATATATATATATATATAGAGAGAGAGAGAGAGAATAATGTTCATAATTGAATTAGATGAATGTGATTTTTTTTAAAGCCATCTAAACAGACAAAGTTAGATGTATATGTTTTGTCAGTGAAATGTTTCTTAAACTGAAAGTATCACTAATCTGGATTTAAATGAGAGCTATCTGTGTCTGAACTTTCATTATCAGTGATGAGAGATATATTTGTCTGAACATCATCATCAGTCCTAGGGCGTTGCTTTGGACTTGGTAGATTAGAATTAGTGCTCTGGTCTTAAATAGCTCCTCAAATGAATCTCTTGAATAGATTAAGACAAAAACGCTGTTTGGTAAAAGACATTAGAAATATTCTCTATTGCCAGTCATAAATATATGAATCATGTTTGTTTGCTTTCTCATTCAGTGGATGAGGTATGAAACAGCAAACAAACAGAAAGAAAGCTGCTTTTCTATCTGATGTTGGACATTTGTTGTAACCATGGAGATTTATCTTCCCTCTGCCATCTCTTGAACTCCCCATCCCCTTGCTCATCTTGAGCTGGCCACTTCCCATCCCCTCCATTCCTGTCGTTCCTCTTGGCTCCCTGTCTTTGCCATTAACACTCTCACAGGGGGTCAGCCTGTACATAGAGAGATAATTAGTGTCTCACATCTTGTATGTGTGTGCTCTATCACCAGCAGCCATCTTTCAGCGAGCAGAAGAAGAAAACCTCCAACCTTGAAGCCTACGTCAGGTGGTTCAACAGGCTGTGTTACCTGGTAGCAACAGAGATCTGCATGGTGAGGGAGATCACTCATTCTGTTTCTGGAGTTTGAAAGAAACAGAACCCTGAATGTCATAAGGTTCTGATTAGATGCACTTTTCTCAGAAATAATGGTGATCATATTTTTTTATGTCAGTATATTAATACATTTATGTTAAAAGTTCAAATTTCTCAAGCCTTCCCAAATTTTTTAACATATAATCACCTGAAGAGGTGTATTACAGAACATTGCTGCCCTCTTGTGGACTTTTTTTGTTACTGCGTGTCAGGAAAACGTTAATCTACACTTTAAATTTAATCTGGAAAATTGATGGAGAAATGAATGTGATTCATTAATATCTTACAGCCAGCAAAGAAGAAGCAGCGAGCCACAATAATTGAGTTCTTCATCGACGTGGCCAGAGAGTGTTTCAACATTGGAAACTTCAACTCCCTGATGGCCATCATCTGTGAGTTTACTGTCTTACAGTACATTCAGTACTTTATAAAGGTTTTCTCTTGATGTGTGGAGGATGAGACTAAAAAGCTTTCGAAAATAGAAGTATTAGATCCAAATTTGGTGGAGCTTTACCTCCAAAATAGCATAAATTTACGCACAGTGTTTAAAGGAGCTAGAACCAATGGGATATGATCAACTGGACTTTCATGTGATTCTAGGCATATTTGGTGAAACTGTAAACAGGGATTTAAAGGAGCTTTTATTGACATTGGGTGGTTGCTGCAGACTTTGGGTTCAAGCATCATGCTTTGATAATGGAAATGCATATTGATTAACTTTCTCGCTGTGCTTTCCATAATTGAAAAAAATGGTTAATCCTGATCAGATTCCAGTGAATCTCCACTGCACCTTACCGTTTTCTGCAGGCAGTAGCGCTCTCTAGCGCTCCTCTCTCTTACTGACAGTCATTTCAAATGACCAGAGTCAGAATTTGTGCTTTTTGGCTGAAACTGTTGCATCCAAATAAAATCTCGCCAGACCTCTCCAGATGGAATTACCTGTCCTACTGGTTTGTGCAGATTTTACAGGTTATGACACTGACAGACATTTTTGCAAGTTAAACAGCAAATCTTGAAACGCTACATTGACTGTGAGACACTGAACTGATTCAGTAAAACTAACCGGTTTCTGGCGTCATTGAGTGTGCGCCTGAAAACCTCCATGGTCTCATTCTCGAGCAGTTTGTTTCAGGGTGAATTGCCACCTAGATGTGAAACTGGTTAACATTAACGCCTGTTTGTTTTAGCTAGAAGATCGTACATTAGTATCTATAAATACTTGATTTTTTTACCTGTTTCAAATGGACAAACTTTATTTTTAATAATCTCTTATACACTGGAAAAAAAATTGAAATCTAAATAAGTCTGTTTTTCTTAAAATAAGTGCCTTTTGCTTTGAATTGAGGAGGTAAGAGAGACACTTTGCCAGTGGAACCAGACAATTTACATTTAAAATAAGAAAAATAAATTACATTGTCCCTTGTTCAAGTTCAATTATCTTATTTTAAGAGTAAAAATACTCATTCAATTGGCAAATGATCTTATTAAGCTACTCAAATTAAGGATAAATGCACTTAATTTAAGAAATGTTGACTTATTTCTATTTCTTTACTTCGTTGTTGCAGTGTAGCATTTTCTGTGGTATGGTTGGATTGATTTTAAGTACTAAAATCTATTTTCTCTGCAGCTGGAATGAACATGACTCCTGTATCACGACTGAAGAAGACTTGGAGCAAAACCAAAACTGCCAAATTCTTCATTCTGGAGGTGAGCCCTGACCTTTCACTGACTTCTTTCAAAGATGCAGGTAAGACCTCCCAGCTGACTGCTTGTTGTTGTTTGGTTTTGCAGCATCAGATGGATCCCACAGGAAACTTTTACAACTACAGGACTGCCCTGAGGGGCGCCGCCCATCGCTCCCGGACTGCCAACAGTAACAGAGAAAGGGTGAGGCTTCAGCAGGACTGCGGATAATCAGAAAGCCATCCTGATTTGGTTCCTGATTTATTAATCATTTTATAACCGATCCTTCCCCAGATTGTGATCCCCTTCTTCAGCCTGCTGATTAAAGACATTTATTTCCTGAACGAAGGCTGTGCTAACCGGCTGCCAAACGGCCACGTCAACTTTGAGGTGAGCATTTTCACGAGCCTCGTTTCTTCATCCACTTCCTTCCCTCTAAATATGTTCTTTGCTTGCTTTGCTGTTTAGAAATTTGTGGAATTAGCTCGACAAGTTGGAGAGTTCATGACGTGGAAACAGGTGGAGTGTCCATTTGAGGAGGACCGGGCCATCCTGCACTACCTCCATACCGCTCCCATCTTCAGCGAGGATGGTGAGGAGTCGCTCACTCACACAGCCTTACAGTCTGATTTTTATGTTTTTGTGGAATAAAATGGACGTTAAAGGCTCCCGAGCAACGGATGACAACTCTCTCCATTCTAACTTTTATGTTTTTTTTAACATCTTCGGCGTATTATTCTATTAAATTGACTCTTAATCAACTGTCAGCGGAAACATTAAAAGTTTAGAGTGCAGTTTCTTTAAACTTATAACCAAAGCAGTGATAATGTTTGATAAAAAAAAAAAAAGAAGCAGAAATTGGCTTTAATTTGTGATTCCACTAAATTAAATAGTGTCTGTACCATCTACTATCCTGCTACAAACCCTACATAGAATTTTAACATATACGTGGAGCTAAACGCATGGATTAAAACTAACAAAGATACTTGAAGTTAAAAATTTTTTTTTTTTTTATTGTAGCTTCCAAATTGATTTTCTTTGCTTTGCTTAGTTTTTTTTTCTTCTAAATAATCCTTTGAATACTTCTATTTCTCTTCCTCAGGACTCTACCTGGCCTCGTATGAAAGTGAAAGTCCTGAGAACCAGGTGGAGAAGGACAGGTGGAAAGCACTCAGGTGGGAAAACAGTTTTCTGCTCCTACTGACCAATCAAAGCACCTTCCCACAAAAGGCACATCTGTGTAACACATAGGCGTCTCAGGGCTTAGTTACACATGCAGAAGCACATCAAGAGCTGGAATCAAACCCACAGCTTTCTAACTAAGCTACAGCTGTTATAATTTCCTAAACTACAACCTAGTTTTCTTTGCTAGAAATCCTCACAGTGAAAAAAAACACCTGCTTTTCTTTTCAGTATATCCATGTTTAAGATTAATATGTATCGAATTAGTAGTATCATGTTGAAATACTCTGTGTATTTGAAAATAGCTTTCTGATAAGTTATTAAATCTTTAGACATTATTTGATATGATGTTAGAACACAGGCAACCTATGAACGAGTGCAGGCAAGTTAAACAGAGCTCCATCCATCTTTTCCCTCTGGAAAAGAAATACAATAAACAGAAGTTACACAAATATAGTAAACTAGCAGCATTTACTGCAGTAATGTTTAATATTTCTCAATTGAGATATTTATAAATAAAACAGTTTTTACATAGTTGTATTAACTTCAGAGCCGTCTGAATGCCTGTCAGGCACAAATGTTTTGTCGGAATGAGAAATGATTTTAAAACTAATCTGCCCGGAAAATGAAAAGTGATGGACTTGGTTTTAAATAAACACCAGAACACAATCTAATATGAACAAAAAAAACCTGTTTATTATTTTTTCAATATACTATAATATTTACCATATTTATAATTATATCGATGCTGGCGGAAGTCTTCTTCATGCATTAATCATTATCAGTTTATATCCCACTATGGTGCAAAAATACCTGGACTAAGATAATATTGCACACTTTCTGTGACGTTCACCACAGCTCTTTACACAGTTATGACCTTTAAACAACAGGTTCCTCTCCTTATATGCAGTTTCCGATTTTGGAACAAATCAACGATATACATTTGAAAGGAAATGTTAACTTAAAAACACTTCTTCACTCTGAATGGTAGACACGTTGGATCCTGAAAAGGTCTTTACTGTGTTAAGTTTATGCTGTAGAAGTACTTAATCAGTGCCAGATCGGAGGCTTGCCCTTAAACTATCATTACATAGCTAACTGATGATAATCTGGATGGATTAATAATAGTAATAATTAAAATTTATTCATCTTGCATTGGAGAAATGTATCTCTGCATTTAACCCATCCCCTTGGGGAGCAGTGGGCTGCCATTGTGCAGTGCCAGGGGAGCAGTGTGGGGTTAAAGGCCTTGCTCAGGGACCCAGAGTGCAGGCTTGCAGGTACTTGCAAGCACAAGCACACCGCTCTAACAACTCCAAAACTTCCCTAACACAGCCTTTGCTTTGAATTCTTTTGTATTTTTGCTAATTGTAAGAAACAATTAAGGTCTAAATGACTCGATATGTCCTGGTTAGCATCCTGGAAATGCTAAGTAAAAAAAAAATAGATTCTTGGTGAAGTTTTCTAATCTTGTTTTTGTCTCATCAGGTCAAACGTTCTGGCAAAGACATGAAGCGGGGAGGGTATCTCAGCCTCCCGCCACCAAACGAGGAGATACGTTTGTCCTCTTTGCACTAAACTGGACTGTGAAGGAACCTGAAGCTGGTACTTTGGTGTTTTTACAAAAAAAAATAGACTGCATAAAGATCAAAGAAGAAAAATAACACGATGAACAGGATTCATCGAAACGAGTGTGAAGAAAAAGTGAAACGTTCCGAAAAAAGAAAAAAAGTCAAATGTTAAGCTATGAACACTGGAACAAACCTTCTCATTCGGAATACGAGCGAAAAGCCTGGAGAGGAACACGGCTTCTCCTTCCTCCCTTTATGTGTGTTTACTCTGTGGAGAAGTTTACTACTTTAGAGAGTACAATTACAGGGAAAACCACTTTATAATACTTCCTACTAATGCCATCTTGTGTACTTTTCTCTGCTCTCTTTCCTTTCTCTTTTTCCTCCTTTTATTCAAGCTTAAGTATTACACTTTTAACTGTAAGGTACTGTAACAAAAAATAAAGTGATGTAAAGGGCGCTGGCTAGCCCTCTTTCACAATTACAAATCCCAGCTAAGGGGAAGATAAAAAACGAAACAAAAACAAACATCCTGGCTGTGCCTGTGTGAAGCTGTATTTCATGTATATGTCCATTGCACTAGAATGACTGGAAAACATGTTTCAGCCTGTTTTTATTTTTGTTTTATTTATTTTATTTTAGGGAACAAACTCTTTTTAAAAGCGTTTACTCTTTTTAAATGTATTGTGCCATTAATATCAGCAGAGATCTACTGTAATAATGTAACTGCAGGAGTTATAGATAGTTTGGCCCTCATCTTTCTGCTCCTCAGGAAGTTCTCTCCGACTGATGTTCAGTTGTTTCATATATTTATTGGAGCTCTGTGCTGACAGATGTATAGTTTTTATTGTCATTTTTTCCCCCTTTACAGAATATGAAGTCCGACGGCATGCTAAGTCAGGTTGTTTCCAATGGGCATTAGTGTAGAAAAGTACCTTAAGGTGCGGATGCTCTGTTGTGTTAAATAGAAGGACAGACCTTTGCCATACGAGGCATTGCTTATCATGACAGTTTCTTTGACTTAAAGCGTGTTGGTTTGTTTTTTTTATTGTTGTTGCTTTTTTGTTGTTTTTTTACGGTTTTGTGAAATTGATAATGAATTAGGGAACTTTAGTGTGAGGAAAAGAGTGGATGAATTGTATTTACTGGTTTGTTATTGATCGATGGTGTTTTTTCCCAACGAGCACCTTCCCCATTTCTACAACCAACTAGTTTAGGTCCTGCTAACTTATTTTTCATCCTATTTCTAGCTTTTCCTGTAACGTTATTCCCCCCCGCCCCATTACGTTTATAGTAAGACTAAGGGTGTGATGTCAAACCTGCCAACTATTGTCATTTAAATAAATCATTAACCTGTGCTGTTTTACGCGTATTTTAAATGACAATCACCTGCAGTTCCTGCCATCAGTTTTAATCTTTATAAGTGTTATCAGACTGCCAGATCCACCAGTTTTTAGTTTGTTGCATAAATACTGCATATGAGCGGGCGGAGTTGTCCTAATTGGGGCAGGGACACCTTTGGCTTTGGCATCAGTGCAGGATTTGTGATCTGTTTCAAAACAGATTTTAATAAAAATAAACCATGCCTACTCTTCCCTGTGCCGTGTGGTCTGAATGAGATATATTAAATATATTGTTGGTCAATCTCGTAGTCACAAATTTATTGTTTTTCTACCAATGGAGCAAAGATAAACTAATAATTTCAGTTACCAGGATGTAGACTTTGAATGACGGACGTGGAGGTGCAGAAATTCCTGTTTTTGCTAATTCCTCCTCAATTTCCAATGTTGATAGAAAACGGTTAAATATTAATAAAAAATATTTACTGTTAATGACAGATACCACTCATAATCTTTAAATAACAATGAATGGGTGAAAATCGAATAAAGAGTCAAATTGAAATATTTTCTATTATATTATTTTCCTTTTTTATTGTCCTGATGGGCAACTTCCCTTAATGAAGTATGTTTCCATAAGTGAGGTCCCCTAAGCTCCACTTAAAGTCTTTATTTTGTATTAACTTGTTTGGGAACACAAATAATGCTAAAAAACAAAACAGACTGCAAAAACAAAATAGATGCAAATATTGTGTTAATCTAGATTGGATCCCAGAAAAAATAATCAAGATGAAAAAAGCCAACAGATCATCGAGCATCAGAGCAAGTCTATCTTTATGTTCAAATGTGTTACTACTGTATAATCTCATCATTTATGCATGAGTTCTGGTGCATGAATGTACCGTCGCTTATAAGGCTGAAATAAAATATGTTTGAAGGGAAAACATGCTCGGGGGCCATAATTATTTTATATTTATCCTGAAAAAAATACTAAAATCCAAACCCATTCATTTCTTGAGCGCAAAGGAATTCTACTATAAAGCTATTATGTCAAGTAGTTTTCATTTTGCAGAAAATGTTTTCCCTTTTCATGAGTTTTTATAAATCAAATCATCTTGTTTAAGCTTTTGCATGATTTTAAACGTGGTTTTATTTCCTTTCCTGCAACTTTCCATAAAAATTCAAAAAATATCAACTGGACTTGGTTTTCAAGATTTGAAGATGTTTCGCCACCTCTCCAGGAAGCTTACTCAATTCAAATGTCTGGATCCGCAGTGAGTTTGAGTCTTATATGGACAAGGCCTCGTATTGCTTGGAAACATGCAAAAGGTAACCGATGCAACTGCAACTGAATCCTGGGAGAGATGATTCAGGAGTTTCTTAAGGTCATGGGCGTAGGTTTGCAAGGGACTATAGGGACATGTCCCTACCAAAGTTTTGGACCGACATACTTGTCCCTACCAACAATTACATTTGAATAACATGTTTAGAATTTACAATACAGCAGTAGAGGACTTCTGGATGGAGAATATTGACGGACGAAAACATGTTTTATTTTATTTTTTTACAATTTTGGTATAATTCCTGCTCTAAGTGGGTCGCTCTGTGAGCTAAAGACATGTTTTAGAGTCTCTATACTCCAGTTAACGATTAATCGATTACTAAATTTTTTTTATATTATTTCAATCATTGATTAATCCGATTAATTGTTTCAGCCCTAAATAAAATACATGAACTGGGTTAAACAGAGTAACTACAGCCTAGATGTACAACTTGTAGAGTGAAGTTAATATAATAAATGCTTAGTGTCAGTTCCTCTTCTAGTTCCAATGCACATNCTAGATGTACAACTTGTAGAGTGAAGTTAATATAATAAATGCTTAGTGTCAGTTCCTCTTCTAGTTCCAATGCACATGTAAATACAATACATTTATTTGGCGTCCCTTGAATATAATATTTCGCTTTGTTTCATGATACAAAGAGAACATTTGAAAGAAAAGAGTGAGTTTTACCTCTGCACAATTCTATATCTTCAAAATAAAAAATTATATAAATCCACATATAGCAGACATATAATCAGAAAACTGTCTCCCATGAAAATCGATGCAGCAAATGGCGGTTAAATTAACCTCCTCTGCAGTGGATGAAAATATTTTTTGGTTTAAATTTAGTTCTCTTCAGACTTTTGTTACAAAGCAAAGTATTGAAGTGGAAATTGGCAAAGGTTCCACATTGTTACATGTTTTGAAAAAAATATTTTCCAATTGTGATGCCTTTTCAAATAAATATTTGCTGGAAAAAACAAGCATTGCTTCTTTAATTTTATATGTCCAGAAAAGTAAAATTTTTAGTATTTAGAGAATAATTCCTATGCAGTTAGGAAAACATTCCATGAGAGTGTTAATATTCCAATTCTAAAACCTAGTGGGTGTAACTAATTGTTAAATTATCAACTTCAGATTTATTATTTAACACTAAAGAGTTACAATGCCAACTCTCCAAAAAGTCCAATTAACACTTGCTGGTGTGGACCCATAAAGACACTTCAAGGGTGTAAAAATCTAATCTGACAGTGTTTATTTGAGCATGTTGGATTTGCTGTGTAATTTCAAATGCAAAACTTTTCAAAGTGGAAAAAAAGTCCTAATTCCTCATTCATCAGAGCCAGTTAAGCTTCAATCATTGATAAACAGCATCTAATGTGTGTATTGCTTATAAAATGTGTATTAATGTATCAAGAAATGCTGCTGTTCTCTTTAAACAAAATGTGCCCCGATGCTCACATTAAGCATAAATAAAGATCATGCATATTTTTGCAAAGGACCAATAGTGTTCCCACCAAAGTTTAAACAAACCTACACCCCTGCTTAAGGTGATTTAATTTCAGTTTAAAGAAAATGACAACAAGCAATAAATTGAGAGAATGTTGTAATGACAACAAATATTAGTCCAGATGTCCTTTTATTCTCCAGTAATCAACCAAAGTTACATCAGATTGGCA